ACTTAACCACTGTGCCACTGGTCTGGCCCCTAGTTTTCTTTATTAGAAAAAGAAGGTAAAGTTATAACACACTTTTAGCTAAGGGGATAAGAAAGAGTTCCTTTTTTTTCTTTTTACTTTTTATTAACATTATGATAGTTTACAACCTTGTGAAATTTCAGTTGTACATTATTGTTTGTCAGTCATGTTGTAGGTACACCACTTCACCCTTTGTGCCCACCCCCCACCACCCCTTTCCCCTGGTAACCACCAATCAGTTCTCTTTGTCTGCATGTTTAACCTCCACCTATGAGCGGAGTCGTACAGAGTTTGTCTTTCTCTATCTGGCTTATTTCACTTAACAGAATACCCTCAAGGTCCATCCATGTTGTTGTGAATGGGATGATTTTATCCTTTTTTATGGCTGAGTAGTATTCCATTGTATATATATACCATATCTTCTTTATCCCATCATCAGTTGATGGGCACTTAGGTTGCTTCCACGTCTTGGCTATTGTAAATAATTCTGCAATGAACATAGGGATGCATGGGACTTTTGGAATTGCTGATTTCAAGTTCTTTGGATAGATACCCAGTAATGGCCTGGCTGGGTAATATGATATTTCTATTTTTAATTTTTTGAGAAATCTGCATACTGTTTTCCATAGTGGCTGCACCAGTTGGCATTCCCACCAATAGTGTATGAGAGTTCCTTTTTCTCCACAACCTCTCCAACATTTGTCACTTTTTGTTTTGTTTATTTTTGCTAATCTAATGGGTGTAAGGTGATATCTTAGTGTAGTTTTGATTTGCGTTTCACTGATGATTAGTGATGAGGAACATCTTTTCATGTGCCTATTGGCCATCCTTATATCTTCTTTGGAGAAATGTCTATTCATGTCCCCTGCCCATTTTTTGATCGGGTTGTTTGATTTTTTGTTGTTGAGTTGTGTGAGTTCTTTATATATTATGGAGATTAAGCCTTTGCTGGATATTTAACTTGTAAATATTTTTTCCCAATTAGTGGGTTGTTTTCTTGTTTCAATCCTGTTTTCTCTTGCCTTGAAGAAGCTCTTTAGTCTGATGAAGTCCCATTTGTTTATTCTAAGAAAGAGTTCATTTTTAATAAACTGTTTCAATTTTACATTGAAATCTCTGATCCATTTGGAATTTATACGGTTTGTGGTATGAGGAATGGACCTAGTTGTATCTTCTATTTGGAAGATTGAAAGGCAAGGTAGGAAACAGGATTGAAGCTTCAAACTATTGGAGATATGAATTAATGGAATCATTAAGTTTCATTCACAGAAGACACAATTAGACCTACCACCCCTGTACCGTGTGTTTGTTATACCACTGCTGTTATACTCTCTACTCTACTCCCATAGATAGGAAACACTGCTCAACAGGAAGCCCTGTAGCCTAGTCACTTCTCAAGGTCAAGCTGAATGTATATTACTAAGGCAGGGGATGTTGACCCAAAGATTCTCCTGGTTTATCTTACAGTTAGGATGTTGATAGTACTTTCACTGTGTGGTAATACATTAGAATCTGCTTTCTGGAGATGCTGATTAATAGTTATCTGTTTATTTGAACCCTTATTGGACAACTAAAACTCTTTTTACAGGATAACTGTTAATAAGCAGAATTGCACTGACAGAAATAGGACATGCAAGATTTGATGGAAAAGAGAGACAGGAAAAGTTCTGGAGAATGGAGTCATGGGGGCACACGGTCTTGCCCTGGGAGGTTCTAGCTACTCTTAACATTTTGTGCAGAATTATTGCTCTTGCTAAAAAAGTAAAAAAATATACACACACTCACAGACACACAAGTTCGTCCTGCCAACCAGCGGTGTCAGTGATCAAATGCATATCACATTCTTTGATCTTTCACCACCCTGCCCTCCCCTTTCTGTTACATAAAGCATACCAAACTCCCCAGCCCTGCACCAATATTGTGTTTCAGTCCCTCACCAGAGAACTCCATCTTGAAATGGCTTCCAGTTAGCTTATGTCAAAGAATAGTTGAAGATATTTGAGACATAGTCACCAAAATGTTAACCATACACTCCCTCAGCGTCTCTGAATACAGTTGGACACAATACCTGTGACTTTTGTTAAGAGGTATAGAGAAGTGGTCACATAAAGTAATTATGCATCGTTCAGAGAATGATATGTTGAAAATAATTGCAATACTTATTGTCTTTTAACTAAGAACTCTAAGAAAAATGCCATCTAGAATTTAGTACCAGGACAAAGTTTGTTTCCATGGAGGAAATGGAGTTGTTGAGGCAGCAAGCACTGTAGATTATTATTTATTGGCTTGGCTTGGCTGGTTTTGGTTCTCAGGATGCTCATCCCTGGTTCCTGATAAATTCTCTTTTCCTATCTCTATTAAAGTTTTTTTTTTTTTTTTGAGGAAGATTAGCCCTGAGCTAACATCTGCTGCCAATCCTCCTCTTTTTGCTGAGGAAGACCGGCCCTGAGCTAACATCCGTGCCCATCTTCCTCTACTTTTTATATGTGGGACGCCTGCCACAGCATGGCTTGCTAAGCGGTGCCGTGTCTGCACCCGGGATCCAAATCGGCAAACCCCGGGCCGCCAAAGCAGAACATGCGCACTTAACCGCTGTGCCACTGGGCCGGCCCCTCTATTAGACTTTTAACATATGTTATTTATATCTTTATTTTCACCATCTTTGGTGCATGTATCCTTGCATTATTTTCTCTTACTATATATCGTATGAAATTCTTTCAGAAGCAAGTAGACTATAAATAGTAAATAAATTTAAAATAAATAAGTAAATAGATAAATAAACAAACCAGACCTTTTCTAGGGTGAAGTGATGTTTACTTAAACATTTCTCATATGGATTTGACACTTGGCTGGACTGCTACTCTTGACCTGGGCATCCCAAACTACAGAAGGATATTTTTATCCTTACTCAATTTTTACAGGCTTCTAAGTCTAGAATGGAGTGATGACTTTTCCTCTTTTCTTTTCTTCTTTTTTGGGGGTGGCAGGTTGTTGCATCTTTAATCTTGGACTCTTTGATTAACAACTCATCTTCAGTTGTAGAAAATAATGCCTGATGCAAGCAGACTGAGATCTTGTCAGAGGGGAGTGTTGAGTGTTCACATAAGCCGCTTGCTTCATGTATCATGTTAATGTGCCAAAGAGTTACTGTTGGAACAGGTGATCTTAAGCATCAAGAAAAAGATAGGAGAGATGTGAGGGGGCTGAGAGCCAGGGAAGCTGGCAGTAATAGTGAGCAGGTGGGAAGAGACTAAGGGGAGGAGAGCTGAAGGCTCTAAGCGGTGTGTGTAGCAGAGGGATCCAGTTATTGGGGCTGGATCAGAACTACATTCACTGAAGTAAGCAAGTAAAATAACAAAAGAGAATAAATAAACCCTCTTCACATAGAGTAAGTATTCCCACCTTTCAATGTTCCAGCTCCCAAGTAACCTCCTCCTGAGTTGTTTTCCTGTGTCTCTCCTCCTCCCCTTGCCAAGGCAGAAATAGTCTCTGCTTTGTCTGACATTGTGTAGCACATTGTTCATATTGCTTTTCTGGTGCTTACCACATTTTACTGTATCTGTGGATGTCTGTCTTTCCCTCCTTGATGGTGGTTTGTTCACCTTTATCACCTACAGGCCTGGCTCTTTCCCTGGACTTGTAAAGTCATTAATAAGAGTTTGTTGAATAATGAGTGTCACGATGAGTAATGGTGCAGACTGAATCCATACTGCCTATTCAGTGTTGATTGGTTTCTCACACTAATGGGCCTGACTATTGGTATATAAAAGAGTAGGGTACCCTGAAACCACCATTTCTCCCATTAAATTGTCCCAGACCTCCAGGCCCGATAGGTCTCAAAATCTTTTAGACTGTGTACGGAATGGAGCCACCTTGGGCTGGTTAAAGATCTCTTGATGCTTTGGAAGCTGTGATCCTTGTGCCTTGGTAGGCATTAGACTTTGGGGAAGGAATATTGTTTTTCAGGCCATTGCCACACTTATTTACCAGATGGCATGGAAAGACTGAAATGCCTCTTCTCTCCACCTCCATGTTAACTTTACTTCAGAAGGGGTAACAGCTTTTGTTTTGACTAAACTTGGCCAAAAGCTCTATTCAGTGAAAGCCTCCTGGCCTGCAGTCAACTTTTTCTTACAATGGGACCACTAACTTGGTCTTCCTGATTATCATTCACCAACTTTGCCACAAACTCTGCCTCTCTCTATGTGACGGCTCTGGTGCTCTTGAATGAGCCCAGTCCACATTTCTTTCTCCTTTGGGTGAAGGGAACAGCATTTTCTTTTTATCTCCAGTACTGCTTCACTGGAAAGGTACAGAAGTGGAGATTTAGATGGCTATAGTCTTGTGAAAGGGACTTCCTTGAGAGGCAAGTAAATGTTTCCTCACGTGATATTTGTCCCCAGAGTCACTGTCTTAGGAGCAATGAGGTTTTTGTATCTGTCATAATATTTCTGAAGATCTTAAGAACCCCCATTTCCTCACACTGGGCCAGACTTCTGCACCTTCGTGAAGTAGACTAGGTTGTGGGTGCCCCTGGCCTCTCACTTTCCAGAACTTCATGCCTCCAGCCCCTAAGGCACTGGCTTATCAAAGTATGTTTGCAGGAAAGGATCTTGAATAGATCCTTCATCTCTTATTTGCATTAAAGTATCAATGTCATCTTTTTTCCAGGATTATTTTCATATTAAGTCTTACCTCCATTTGTTGAATAAATGGCTTCCCGTCCCCTGCCTTTTTTTTCCCCCTTCAAATTCAGGCACCAAGAAGTAATTAGAGGAGAGATTGGGAGGTAGGTGGCAATTTTCTGGGTATCTTTGTCATCTTAGTTAGGCCATTGCATATTCCATCTAAGTGTCCTGTTAAGTAGAAGATCTAGAAATAGTAGTCAAATTTCCCAAACCCAAGTATAATGCCCTATACACCTCAAAAACTACTAAGTAAAACCCATAGCTTTTAGGGGTAAAGATCACGTTCTCTTGCAGAGTCTGCCCCCTCAAGAATGTCTTTATAATTTAATCGGTCACTGCAAGCTGGACATTGCTCCAAGGCAAGCAAATGCTGCCATGTCATTGAAGATTGGGTCACTGACTGAGATATGTATCCTGAAACACGAAGATGGAGCAATGGAGTCATGAGCCAAGGAATGTGGGCAACCTCCAGAAGCTGGAAAGGGTAAGAAAATGGATTATCCCCTTGATCCTACACAAGGAATTCAGCCCCTGCTGGCACCTCGATTTTAGGACCTCTGACCTCCAGAACTGTAAGATAATTAATGTACATTGTTTTAAGCCACTAAGTTTGTGATGATTTGTTACAGCAACCACAGAAAATGAATACAGAGCTCATGCTTTGGATTACCAGGCCTTGCTGTCTTGGATGCCTACAAAATGAGAGCTTATGGAATTACTGAGCCATCGTAAGGAAAAACAGAGAAACATGGCTGTTTGGTAGGTACAAAACTAATTACCATAGATGTGTAATTCATACCCATCAGTAGGAGATACTTAGTTTTGCTTTTCACCTTGAAATATTATTAGAAGATTTTGGATCATCTTTATTTATTTATTTTTGATTTTTTGTGAGGAAGATTAGCCTTGAGCTGACATCCCCCACCAATCCTCCTCTTCTTGCGGAGGAAGATTGGCCCTGAGCTAACATCTGTGCTCATCTTCCTCTACTTTATATGTGGGACACCTCCCACAGCATAGCTTGATAAGTGGCACATAGGTCTGCACCTGGGATCCAAACTGGTGAACCCTGGGCCGCTGAAGGGGAGCACACGGAATTAACCAGTACGCTCCCAGGCCAGTCCCTTGGATCATGTCTAGAAAACATAAGAGAGAGGGAGAGTGATTCACTTTACTCAAAACTGATCCTTTGAAATTATTATAGTTACTGTGGTATCCGGTATCCATCCACTAGATGTCAGGAGAGACATTGTCAAGGCTCCTTCCGATTGCTTCAACCTTCTACTCAGGAAGCATTCCTGATGAAACTGAAAAGCAAACAAGTGCGAAAACTCTACAGTAATAGACATGTAAAATGCAGACAGGATACAATAAATATTCTAAATCATTTTTCCGGAATAGGTACAACATATACTGATAGTCTGTGTTCTCAGGAGGCCAAATGAAATATTGCCAGCTCTTTTAAACAGTTTATGGTGACTCACAGAGAGTATTCCGGGCATTAACCAGTGGCCTGAGGCTTAACCTGTACTTTTTGCACTTTCAAACAACACTTCACCCGGAACGTTTCTCAGAAGCCTAGCACAAGGGAATTTTATTTGCTGGTTTTGTGTAAGTTAGATCATTTTTGTGGCTCTTTATACCTATTTCTGGCTGCCTTAGTGTTCATGGGAAAGAAACCATTGTGTCTTCAGTAATATTTAATTTGGTTATTTAGAAGATTTAAGCAATTTGCCCTAGATTCTGTCTGGTCTCTGTTCTCAAACTGACTAGCTTGGTTCTGATTAACTACAGTTTTCCTTTTAAGTTCCACTTCTTTTGGTTTGCTCCTGGATCACACTGAGTGAGTTTGGTAGAGAAGCAAAGAAAGGTTAGCCTCTAGTAAGGATCATAAATAAAAAGGTTAAAGGCAGTGATGTTGTTAGATGACTCATCAGCATGGCATTGGGGTCAAGAGAGCAGAAGCAAAAACAACAAAGAAAGTAAAATACTTCCTCCTCACCTGTGGGGTGTGTGTGTGTATTTGTGTGAGTGTGCGTAGTGGATTGATTCCCAGGGGAAAAAAAAGTGAAGTCACAGATTCTTGCATGGCATACCTGACCAAAAGTCACCAAAGAACTACCCATTGGTTGTCTAAACAGCCTGGATCAATAAATTGGATCAGAGCTCCTAGCCAGGTTATGTCTATACCAAATACAGTGGAAAGCTCACTTCTTTAATCTCTCTTACTACACCTTGGTGTCATTAGTATCATGCAGTTTTTTCAGATAACATACTTTTAGTCCTTTTTATGGTGTATTAAACTTTCTGAGTTTATTTTTTCTATTCGTGAGCATTGCTGAATATTTCTTACCTTATATCTGTAGAGATTTCTGGATTTTCTTCCCTCCTAACTTATGCATGCTCTTAGATCACGTTTGTTTAACTTTCTTAAATCATCTGTGGTAGCTTAACATTCTCCTCCTGTATTCTAAGGAATCAGTGACCCTGTCCCTCATCCTCAGGCTTAAGCTTCCATACATTCATCTAGAGCTTGTCGAAACATGGATATTTGCAGCTATTATCCTCCCCTATATCTACCTTTTTTAGTGTTCTTTAACTTTTGTTCATTTTTAAGTAATTGATTTTTGAATAAGTAATGCATTCACATGGTGCAAAACCCAAGCAGTAAAAAGAAATAAATGTTTTTTAAAAGAACCTCAAAAACTGAAAAGTTCTCCTTCTATCCTAACCCCAGCCATTCAATTCCCTTTCCCAGAAGCAATAACTGTTATCAATTTCTTGTTTATTCTCTAAAGATATTCTAAGCATTTATACAATATAAACAATAACCTACTTTATATACTTTTCTACACCCAACTTTTTTCATTTAGCATGATTTTGGAGGTAGGTCATATCAGTACATGTAGAAATGCCTGATTCATTGTTTGGATGAACCATAATTTGCTGATGGGCATCTAGATGGTTTCTAATCTTCTACTATTACAAACATTGTTCTAATACATATCTTTATAAAGTCTTTTTGCACATGTGGGAGTCTATCTGTAGCATAAGTCCCCAGAAAGGGAATTGCTGGGTCAAAGGGTAGGTGCATTTTTAGTTTTGACAGAAATTGCCAAATTGTCTCCACTGAGATCAAAAGAATTATTAATCCCATCAGCAATGTATGGCAGTGCCTATTTCATCACGCTATTGCAGTAGAATGTGTTATCAAAATTTTGATCTTTCTTTATCTTTCTTTATCTGAGATACATTATAGATCTATATATTCTAGATTTAGTTTGCATTTCCCTTGTGAGTGAGATTGAACATATTTCATATGTTTAAAAGAAATTTCTATTACCTTTTTTAGTAATTATTTATACTAATCCATTGCCCAATTTTTAATTGGGTTTGATTAATCTCATTGATTTGTAGGAGCACTTTATATATTGAGGAAAATAGTCCTTCATCTTTGGTGTGTGTTGCTATTTTTTCCAGTTTGTGTTTTGATTTCCTGATAATGGTTTTTTGTGATGCAGTATTGTTACATTATATAGTCAAGTTAATCAATCCTTGCTTTTGTGGCTTCTGGGTTGTATGGCATCTTAGGTCTCTTCCTCCCTGGAATTATTAAAAATTTCCACCATATTTTCTTCTAGTATTTTTATGGTTCTATCATTTCAGATTTAAATATTTAATCCATTTGGCATAAGGAATGACATAGTGATTTAATATTCCAAATACACTTTTTAACCACCATTTCCACCCTGATTATGTAATAAATAGCTGCTTATTATAAAAAATTTAGAGATGCAGAAAAGCAAAAAAAATCACCTATCATTCCATTACCTAGCGCTAACTAGTGTTAACGAATTGTATTTTCTTTTTCCCCATGTATATATAGAAACATGGCTCTTTTTTCTTACAAAATCAGGATCATATTATGTATGCAGTTCAGTATCCTGCTCTTTTTAAAACTTAATATTATATCATGAGAAAATTTCCCCTGTCAAGTGTGCTTACCCTTGGAATATGAGTGCTTTTGTTGTCTATCTGAGTCTGCCCCATCTGCATCTATTTTGAGGCTTAGTCTGAAAGCTCTTGAGTGATAGACACTGTTTCTCTACAAATGGTTATGATTCGTCTTTGGAAAGTCTCATTTTTTATGGACATCTAGTAAATGCTCATTAATAATATCATGCTTTCCCTTCTATCATTCAAATTCTTGACTAAAAGTTAAGTGCAAACATACTTAATTTGAGACCAAATTCTATTCTTTATATCATGCTCCATGAATAAATCACAGTACTGTATGTCAGGTAAGTATTCAGTAATATTTTGATATAATACCATTTTGACATTGAACAACATCAAGTCATTGTTTTCTGTGGACAATTTACTATTAAGTTTATATATCATTTAATGGGGTAATCATTTAATAATTACTTAAGCAGACAATGCAAAGGGGATATGGTGGGAAGAGATTTGATTTCTGATGGGTGAGTAATAAAGTCTTCAGGGAACAAGTAGTATTTGATATGGATCTGGATGGAATTTGACAGATGGAGATAGAGGTGGAAAGGGCAAGACCTTTCTGGCAAAGGGGATAACATGTGCTAGAATTCACAAGTGCGGATGTACCAGGTATGTTCAGCAAATTGTCAGTAGTCCAGTTTGGTTGGTGCACCGGTTGCATGAGTGGGAATAGGGAGAGATTAGGTGTAAAAATTAACTTTGCAAATGCAAACCTTAATGAAGGTTGTGAAATGCAGGCTGAGGAGTTGCTGCTTCTCTAGGCGTTAGAGTGATGAAAGGTTTTTCACTTTTTACTGTGGAAAATGTTAGACACATACAAAAGTAAACAGAGCAATGTGGCAACTCCCCATGTGGCCACCACCCTGCTTCGTCTACATGCCCCATTTCCACCATATTATTTGAAGGAAATCCCAGACTTTCTATCATTTCATACATAAATATTTCAGTATGTCTCTAAAATATAAGGATTCTTTACAAAAACATAACTATGATACCAAAACATAACCATATCTAAAAGAACTGACAGTATTTCCTTGAAATGATTTAAGAGTTTTCAAGAAGGCATGACCTGCCCAGTGCAGTGCTCAACCCAGAAAAGAATATGGTTGTTCCTCCAAGTACAAAATATCGTGTTATTTAATTGAGTAAACGATGTTATGTAGAGAGTTACCTAAATGCAGATGACAGAAATAAACCATTTTTTATGAGTGGTGAATGCTGTAAGTCACTTCACTGACACAAAATCATTTAGAGATTCTTGTTTTAAAGCATGCAATTATGTCAGAAACAGAGCTTGGAAATGATGTTTCTCAGAAGGGAAAATGGCATAGTCAATTTTTATTAAAGTAAAACTGACAAAATAATTTTTTCAACCTTTTAAAGTCTTTCATAGAAATGTCCATGAAATGACAAGGGGTCCATTTCTTTCAATCTTACACACCTTTGCCTGGAACTGTCCAAGAAAGAACAATTTTTTTAAAGACTAAGTTTAAGGAGAGATAATTAAAGGAAAGGAAGAAAATAAATAGCTCAGCATCCCAATAAATTATGTCCTTCTAAAGAAATTGCATTATATTACAACAGATTATTATCTGGGAGCTGGTTGGAAAAGTGCTGCTATCATGGTGGAAATGCAATTACGTTGTGTTGGATGTTGATGAAGAGAAGGCCATGGAAACCCAGAAGCTTCCTTATTCCCCTGGGTGCCTTCATCCATGTGACATTAGCCACCTGGAGC